TAATGGGGTGGGAAAAAACGTAATAGTAATTAGCTTTTTTTGAGATTGTTTACATTTGAAGATTCTTACTCTGCAAACAGTACAAATTCTCCTGAGAAGTTCCTACTTATAAGTTTTACTATCATGAATTCAGTGTGATGTGCATTCAAGTGACTTTGGTTGGAATTAAACAGATATTTTGGTGTAATGTCTGTGTATTTTTTCTGACAAAGACAGGAACCTTTTTAGCACTAGACAACAAAATGAAGATCAGTGGATTCACAATAGGCGTGTAGTTTATGCCATAATTTTTGTGCTGCCATGAGACTGCTAGGAATTTTTTTGGGTAGTTTGGGGAATGATGGGTAGTCCATGACACAATCCTGGCACTTTAATTTTTTTGGAAAGCTTTATAGCTGGTTTTCATCAACAGTACACAAAGTTTGTACAAACTTATTTATGACGAATAACAATTAGCTTCACCATGGTAAAGTAATTGATATGACCACAACTTGAAAAGTTTTTGTGGTGCCGTTCATGTACGTTAATCTTATCTTCACGATCATTCCAACATCACTTGAAAGCCACAAGATCCATTGAACAAGGCCAAGAATTAATTGCTTTCTGATGGAGCCATTGTTTGCTGCATTATCTGGCTGATTGCATTGCTGGTTGTTGGGGCTTGTGGATTTGGGGTTGTTCTGGGTTTGGGTATTCTCTGTCTTGCTTCTCTTGGCTCTTGCTGAGGTTGGTCCAGTGTTGTCCTCGTTGCAGTTTTGATGTTGCTTTGAGGTGTTTGATGGTGTCTCTTTCTTTTCCCTTGTCATTTGTGTTTTGTTTGTTTTTACCCTTCCCTATCCTTCCCACCATCCCTGTCCTGCTGTCCTGTCCCTGTGTTCCTCTTGGTTTGTGCCTGGTGTCTGTCCTAGCTCCCCTCGTCTTCACTCAGTCCTTTCTCCACAACCCCCACCCCCTCGCCCGCTAACGGACCACCCTCCCCTAAGTTTGGCCGGGACCCCCTGTCGTACTGTTTGATGGAAATCAATAAGACAGTCAAACCTCGAATCTCTTCCTTCCGGACCCTCAAGAGAACGGTGAGTGTGATAGGTCAGGGATCAAGCCAACTGACTAAACCTGTGCGCTGCTGTTTTTGGCACGTCTCTTTAAGGTGTTCAGCAGCACTGATCTGGGTCTGAGTAGTGGTCACATGCAACTGAATGGTCACAATGAAGTAGAAATCACGGCTCTTTTACTACTAATCTTCAGTCACAACAACACCAGCTCTTCACCTATTCCTGCCACACTCTCTAATACAACATTTAAGGCGTCACAACTTGCCAACTCACCTACCGAATGCTGTTGCTGAAATCTCACCCTCTTCTGTCAGTGAGTCTGTCATGCTCGGCAATTGAGAATGGAAGTTCGATGACCAACTACATGACTGCATCTGACATTTCTCTCTTATTCCCATGCAATTCAACATCCCATATTGGCAGCAAATCAACATAAAGCTTGCTGAAATAAGAAAAGGAGCACCATGCAAATGTAACAAGTTGTCAGATTGAATTAGGATGCAGTTCATGCAGTAACATTGTCCTTTGAGTGAGTGAGATGTGTGTTTGTCCCTCTGGGGCATGTAGTATACTCGTGTGCCGGCAGCGCTTGTCAGCTTCTGTGAAAACATGACTTACTTTCAATAAAAATAGACTGTTCTGCCTCTGCATTCTTATTTTATTAGTCATGTAAGTTTAGGGCGAACCCCAGAAAAATGCATGTTTACACAATCACCGTTGACAGTCAGCATTTGGGCTGTTTGGGTGAGATTTGAGGAGGACAATAGTAAGTCAGTTGTTCAATGAATCATTTTGGTGAATCAGAGCTCAATGGTCACTGACACATGGGTCCTGCAGACTAACTAGGGCTGTGCCAATATAATCATGTATCATGATTCTTCTTCCCATGATATTCCATTGATACCTCAGGTTCCTACAGTTAAATTGATGAAGAAGCAGGTCACCCAAAAAGCTTAAATTCTGAAACTAGTGTTTGTAACTGCGGTCAGAGCTGCTTTTGTGAGATGTGGTACTGGACAAAAGTGATGTGACCTGCATGAGAGACACTAAGAAATCGGTTAGTGTGATGCCAGCTTATCAGTTTGTTTATATCTCTTTTCCTCAGTTTACTCCAGAGAAGCTCACGGTAATCATTTTAAAGTGGTGTGGGCATGCTGTGTACATGTATATTTCACTCCCTCTGTTTTAATCGGATAATTTTCTGCTTGTGAGGATTTCACATATGACCACCTTCTACACTGAAATGACAGTTTTTCTGTCATTCACTATTGTAGAGGTGGCCATTTTCAACGCAAGGCACAGCAGCCTCTGGGTTAATTTACAGTACTATCCATCATGACTCTTAAACAGTGACAGGCCATTCCAGGCTGAGACACTGCAACACAAAGAATATATGCACTGATGCTGAAGCCAGGCTGTTATGGTGTACTGTATTAGACTAGTTTTAAAGTTGCATTGGTAAATCTATGCACATGGTTTAAATAAATTAATTGTGGGTTACTCAAAGGAATATTCCAGGTTAAATGCAACTTTAACTCTGTTGGCCTCATTTGTATCTCGGGTTTGTAAAAACAACAGAAAACAGCAATACACTTATGGTGGATATCTATGGGGTAAGTCTACAGCACTATAAATGCTAAAAATATGAAACTATCTTTTTTTGATAGTATAGCCATTACATTTTAACATTGTTAGCATGTGTTAGCATTAGGCTAGTGTTGATACCAACCCTGGCTGCTCAAAGTAATATTCAACCTTATAATCTAAAGCCAGTAAACACACAAAAGTTCAAAGTATAATTCAGTTTTGAAGCAAACGCTTAGCGTATATGCACAGGCAACTGCACTGCCTTTCTAAGTATACTTGACACATGCACACTAGTAAGTTTAATCGTTGTCCAGTGTCTGCGCTATTTACCAGTCTTTGTTTAACTAGAGCTTCAGGTATCTCTTAAGGCCCTCACACCACAAGCATCTGTCAACGTCTCGTCTGTTTCTTTTTCAGCCATGAAACAATGGGCTGGTGTTGCTACTTTCTGAACAAACTAATTAACGCAGAAAAATTCATGTGCATGGTTGGAAGTATCTAGCTGTGCGAGTTGAGTACTATGCTGATTAAAAACTTGAGTGTACTTTGGTTTTTAGGCCCAAAATCTCTATTGCGCTTGTATTTTCACATATGCTAGCAAATGTATACTGTGATTTCAGTTGTACACATATGCCAAGCACTTGGATCAAAACTAAAGTAGCTATACTTAGGGCTTTACCTTCACTATTTCTATGCAATGATATGCAACCCATGTAACACGCTATTTACATAGAGCAAACTCTGTACACATCAGTTACATGCATAACCAGAATTTCGTATGCCTAGAACAGTAGTCCTAATTTGAAAGGATTATTTTGACTTTTTTTTATATAGAGCACATATGAAACATTTTACTGAATATTTCATGTAACAAATATCAGCTTCACATTCCTTCTTCAAACCCCTCATGCCGCATGGATTCATTAAAAAAATACTGACTGTAGTCATCGACAACATGCCACAGATTGTGTTTAAAAAGCTACAATTTTATTTAACCCAGAACGTTCCTTTGAGTAAACTGTTTATGTATAGCTTGTTTAAGCATTTCTCCTTGACTTACCTGTCATAAATGAAAAAATGTGTTGCCAAAATCTCGTTAAAGCACACAACAATTATAACAGATGGTATAATTACCCTGGTGATGAATTGCTACAGTACAGCTTTTCCTCCTGCAAACCTGAACTCTCACTGTGGGCTCTCTGGTTCACATCTGTCACTGCTTGGCTTGTGGTGTTGGAGGGGTAGCTATTTGTTTGTGTGAATCTCTGTGAGTGACGCTATCTCCCTGCCCATCTCCTCAGCCTGTGGACTCTGAGGGCTTCACCCATCTTCCTCCTGAGCAGCGCAGGAAACGCTTGCAGCAGAAGATAGATGACATCAGCAAGGAGCTGCAGAAGGAAATTGATCAGAGGTGAGTCACCTGCCATGCTGTCTCTCCGACAACTATCGCCATGACAACTGGCCACAGCTGAATCCACAGGGTTGCCGGGGTCCGGGCTTTGTTTACTAAGCTCTTCAGGTCTCTGAGGAATCAGTGGTGTTGAGTGCCACAAGTAACCATAACTGTTTGTTCTTTGCCTTTCTCTGTTACAATCAAGCTCTCGCTATCTTAAACAAATATATTTATATCTCTGTGCAGTGAGGCTCTGGGTAAAATGAAAGATGTCTATGAAAAGAACCCTCAGATGGGAGATCCTGCCAGTCTGGCACCTCAGATCACTCAGACGGCACAAAACATGGAAAGACTGAGAGGAGAACTCAACAAATATGAGGTTTCAGTTTAATACTCTCTGTAAATCTTTATACGCTTCATAAAGACGTTCTCAACACACTTGTGTCTTGGTTTGTTGTAGTCCTGGCTCGCAGAAGCAGGGGGCCGAGGAGACTCGATACGATACTCGACACACTCTCTGAACAATAACGGTGCTCATAACCCCAACAGGTCAGTTTTATTTCAGAAAACACTATTTTCTGATTATGGTGTGTATTCTGATTAAGCCTTATTCTGAAAAAGAGGTTTACATGCTTCACGGCTATTGGAATTTTTTTTTATTTGAACAGGACCTTATGTAAATAAACATTGTAAAATTATTTGGTAATGTGGATATGCACAGATATAAATAAACAAAATTCTGATTAATACAAGCAAATGCCAGCTGTCTTGTTAAGATTTCTATAAATCATTATATTGCTTTAATCTGGTTATGGTGATCAGATTGTGTTTACATAAAAATAATTTTCCCATGTTCTTTTCAGTCCTGGAGCTATCTCAGATGACACTGACTCCTCCCAGGCCATCTACACTGAATTTGATGACGAATTTGAGGAAGAGGAACTCGCCGCACCTATTGGTCAATGCACAGCACTCTACAATTTCCCAGGTACGATTATACAGCTTCACTCAAGCACTTGCGAATATCGTACCCACCTCTTTTCCTCTAAGTCTCTCCTCCATCTGTCCACAGGCTCCAGTGAGGGAACCATCTCCATGCAAGAAGGGGAGGTGCTGTTTGTAGTGGAGGAGGATAAGGGCGACGGGTGGACGCGAGTGCGGAGGAACAACGGGGACGAAGGCTACATCCCTACTTCTTATGCTACCATCACGCTTAATAAATGACCTCATCCCCTTTCCACCCGCTGCAGCAGAGATGCACTATACCAAACACTATGAGTAGCTTCAGATTACCACTCATTATGTCCCAACATGGCTTGCTGCTCCTCTTAGAGGGATAATTTAGGGGGGAATCACTGCACAATGGGCTAATACACTCCTCCTCTAAGGATGAATGAGTATCTCAGGGTGTGTATTATGTGAGTAAATGAGGTAGAGAAGGTTTGAATAATTTTTCTCCTTATTTTGCATGGAAAACAGTGCAGCAGGGTGCCATGTACACACAGCTATTGCTCAACAGACACATCAGTTCCTGTGGTGACTCTGTCTGATGGTGACTTTTGATAGCAGTCTATCATCAGAGCTGAGATATTTTGTCTGACCATGATCCACTCAACGTGTCCTTCACTAAGATCTTCCATCTGCAACTTGATGATGTGATTCCACGTCTGGAGCAAAAAGCATAACTATCTGCGCTGGGAGAAATCCAGCAGCGTTTTAACTTGAAGTATTTGCTTTGATGATCTGAGTGGCCAAAAATTACGTTTTACAGCAGTAAGTGTTACATATGCTTCCCTAAATGTGCAGTAACATGAAATGTACAGTAACGAGTCAATAAGACCTAAAGATTTTGTGTATAGAAAATACTGAGCGCCCAAGTAATATTAAGTAACTCCGTTTTTTTTTTCTTTTTTCTTAAGACTGTTACACAAACACACAAATTTAAATACTGAGCAGTACAAAATTATGACAATCAAAGTCTCAAAATCTGCAGAAAAAAGCCACACTTCTCTAAGAATATGTAGTACAATAAATAGTTTGTTGAAATTAAAGAATATAATTTATTGAGTATATAAATAAGTGTTTGTATAATGAATAATCAATCACATTTATATAAGAGGTGACTGCACACATTTGCTATTTCAGATAGATCAACAATGCACAGTGTACGCGCAACTAAGAAAAACTATTTTAGGTGACAAAAGCTAATTTAGGAGTTTCATATTTAAATATATGAAATAATATATTTTAGGCATCACAACACCACTATTGTCTTATTAGCTTTTTATTCATGATGAATAAAGATTGTATAGTTAAAAATAGATTTCTAAATGCAAGGGTTCAAGCCTCTGTGTTCAGCATTTGTTTTGTTTGTCTTTGATTCAATCCAAGGCAGAACTGTTCATGTTTGGGTAAGTCAAGGTGCCTTCAACTTTGTGTATGTACCATACTCAGAATTCACTATTTTATTGCCTTTATAAATGTCAAGCACATTTCCAAGTTGACATGATGTCCAGTTGATTTCTTCTTGGTGAAATTCTCAATTGAAAGAGATTTTTAGGCAATTCGTAAACCTTTTGAGAGGAAATGTTGATTTTTAACAGCAACTAAACTATTACATGCATACTATTATACATTTTGTAAGCAAAAATAAATAATAATAAAAAAAAAAAGGGTCTTAAAATCAAAACATTGATTTCACATGTTGATCATAATACCATTGTTTTCCATAGCTAACAAGTGCCGCTTGCTGGTAATAAGAGGTTGCTGTTAAGTGGAATTGTCATAAAGTGGCAGCTGTGGTCAATAGGATTTCATCCTCTCTGGAGTGAATACTCATGTCAACTGACTAATAATGCAGCAACATCGAGACTTCCTCATCAAGTTTACATTTACTATTTACTATTATAAATAGCGCTAAATAGGGAGGGAGAGGGGGATTTATGATGGGTTATTAAAATGAAACTTTGTTCAAGTACTGTTAACCACAGACATTATTTGAATAATAAATCAGTCGTAAAACAACCTGTATTTAACGCCACTGCGTTGCTTCAGAATCTTTACACATCCTAAAGTTATGCTAATTAACTATATTACTCTGCTGCTCATTATTCTACTTAATAAGTGTACCTTGAATATTGGTGTTTTTTTCCATACTGCACAAAAAGCTTTTAAGTCGTGTAGAATATAATAGATATTGAACAGTGAAATCACGACCTCTCGTGGCTCATTGATTTATTAGGGAAGGCTTCCGACAGGTGGCAGTATTGCACAACAAATCTAAACGACCGTACTTTTGCTTATTCATTTGCAACAGATTTGAAATAATTCGTCTAAACAGTCACCAAAAAAAAAAAAGAGTTCAAAATTGAACTCCGTCAAAGTTCTTGGAAGTAACTGACAAATCTCCAAGAGTGATCTGAATGGGATAATAGGACAACTGGCAAGTATTATATAAAAAGCCCACAGATCGTAAGACGAACGTGTCAAAATATCTATATTTGACAACTTACTGAATACGCTGAACGCGCTGAACCCTTCACCGTTTATATTAGTATTCTTAAGGGTTCAGCTTACAGCCTGTGACTGAAGACTCTCAATGCAGTTGATCTTTCTCCAGCTGTTCCCTCCTTGTCGCAAACTGTACAGCAAAAAAATAAAAAAATAAATGAACAAATATACGAACGACTCATTGCTATACTATTAAATGATTTAAATTCTTAAATATGTTAATAATGTTAGCACACAAAAACGAAAATATACGTGTATGCATGAACAAAAACGTTGCTTTGCTCTCTATAAATGTACAAACCCCCTAAATCAACCGTTCTTTGATGAAGCATCAGTCAACAGGCCAGGTTATGTTCGCTATAGGCTACTGACTGAATTGGGAGGGACATAATTCGCTTTATAGAAATTATTCTAAGCTGTGAAATCTGTGAGAATCACTGAGCTTCTTCCACAGGTTCAGCATCAGTGCTTGTCTAGAGGGCGCCAAATCTAAACATAAGCAAATGTGCAACCAACTAGTACAAATTCTCTTACATGCTGTGATCTTGTAAATCAGCCTCATCAGACAAATAGGCTATGTATTAGGCCTACACTGCTGATAGAAAAATAGGCTAGTTTATGTGTCAGTAGCTAGAAATGTTACATTCCATTCAGTCCAGATGTTGGATGCTTGTATTTAATATCTGACATCCGACAGTCTGTCTGATGCTCCGAAAACAGCATTTGTTTTGTAGGTGTATATTTATTAAGAGGAAAAAGACTCCTGTCTCTAAATAGATTCTGTTATCATGCAATAAGATCATTAATTAATATACGCATTTTTATGTTTTAATTTACTGTGTAAAACTCTGAAGTTCTGTTGCACTATTCCAAGTGGGAACAAATTCCGACTTGAAATCAGTAAAAGTGCCCCAGTATTGGTAGTTAATACATCATAAAATTGTCTTGTCATGCACTGTTTATGTTCACATATACGCACATATATGATAATTCATGAAAACTAACATGAAAAACAAAAAAGGCCTCTAACACTACACTGTAAAAAAAATTCCGTCAAATTTACGGTAAAAAAACAGCAGCTGTGGTTGCCAGAATGTTACCGTAAAAAATACGGTAGCAGCGTTTTTGGTTTTACGGTTTTAACTTAAATTTACAGTTAAATACCGGCTCTATTCTTTTTCTATTCTATCTGTTTTCTTTTTATTTATTATATAATAAAAAAACCTTGCTACGTGTACTGCGTTAAGCTAACTGAGACTTGTTATAGCACTTGCATATCATTGCTCTCTTGTTGATTTTGATTGCTTCTATTGTCCTCAATTGTAAGTCGCTTTGGATAAAAGCGTCTGCTAAATGACTAAAAGTAAATGTAAAACTCATTAAATTCATTAGGCCTATTACTTTCAGGTTGAAACATTTTAAAATGTCTGTGACAGCTCTTGCTATCCTCATCACCTCACCATCACAAACACTTTTCCCAGTTCACCTTTGGAATACTGTTTTCAAAATACTATGTTTGAGACAGAAACATCCTGATCTTGCATACTATTTGGTGCAGATATGCAAATTGGGACACAGCGGAGGTCTGATGTCTTGGATTCTTGATAACAGGTTTCCTGTGACTCCATTTCTTGATTCCCTTGTGTACACTGTCCAGAGCCCTGAGGAGTTTTTAAAAATCACATCTCATTATCTGCCCAAAACATGACATTTGATAGACCTTTATAAATGCTTTTTGTCGCACATATCTTGCTTCCGATTTTTAGAAGACATTGTTAAAGATATACTATAGCTACTCTGCAGTGAATCAGTAGGCCTACCTCTGAATACAGCCATAGTTATACTGCAATTAGAGCTAATTGCATGCTTTTTGCAATTAACCCAATTATCCGGGCCGTTCCTCTTCCTCGTCCCCTATGTTGTGTCAGAACACATACTTAACTGGAAATTGTCTCCACTTTGTAGTCTTGAAAAGGAAGATAATGGCTGGCCTATTCAATAAAGCAGCTGTTGTTAATGTGCTGACATGAAAACCCATTCTAAGTAAGGCTAAGTAGGTTGGAGGTCTACAAGAGTATTTTCACGTTCATCTGCTATAAACGGACACCAGCCTACTGTAATGCATAACAAACATACTCTGAATGCATGCATTCTTACATAAAGAAGCATTAAACTCATCTGTAGCCTAATAATGTAAAGTATTTTAATGGACATTTCACAATTTTATTAGTTAAAAAAAAAGTTGGAATTTCCTTGGGTTTGTGCTGATGAGGGGTGAAAAATATGAGACAATTACAGATCCAAAGAAATGCTTCATTGCGAATTTCCTGTGGATGAATAAGCTTCAAATAATTACAATTATTAGGAACTGACTGTATAAATTTTATACAATTCAGCTATTTAATTTTATACATAACAACATTGCCATACTTTATACAATTTAATAATAATAATAATAATATAGTTCTGATTTCAATCACATTAGGGAGTTTTGCTTCAGTCACGCGATTGGCTGCTGCTGGAGTGAGACGCGTTGCCAGTCACGCGATTGGCCGCTGCTAGCTGCTGGTGTCAGACACGTAATCGGCTGCTAAACGCGGGCAATGGCGTGAGTTTGAGGCGGGGCGCGGAGTGTTTGAGAAACATGTTTGAAAACAGTCGTAATTGTTTGACGCTAGTGAAGAGAAATCGCGCTCTTCATTTTCAAGAAGGTTTGTGACTTTCTACTGTATATGCACTCGAGTCATTTGCAGTGGTTTTAATTGCAATTATCTTAAAGCATCAATTTTTGACATGCTATTTGAATTTCTTTGTGTTTTCATTGTGTTGTGCGGTGCTTTTATTGTGTCTCTTTTGTTTTACCATTACACTGTGCCAACCTGGCTGAAACTGATAGGTCTCTGGTAAAGAAGGGGTTTCTGGGGAACAGACTCTTCACAAAGATAAGCCACCCCACCACTGGAACCATCACTCTTTCACTGGTAAGAGCAAGACCAGCACTTTATAAAAGCAGATACATAAAACATCAGCTCCACCATTCAAGATTATTCTGTACTCAGCAAAAAATACATATAACAGCTGATTTGATTTTCTTATAATTCAGGGACTTCACACAGTGCAAAACCTAATTTTCTTAAGTATTTTTGTCGTCTTCTTTAGTGAAAATATCAAAAAATCATATATATATGGCTTGTTTTAAGCATAAATCCACATTTAAAAATTCATTTAGCAAGATTTAGGCTTAAAACAAAATAAATAAGTATTTACCCAATGGGGTAGGACAAATAAACCTAATTCAAGAAATATATAAGAAATAAATAATTAAATAAAACTTATTGTAAACAAAAATCCTGATTAAGAAAATTATTTTTTGCAGTGCAGTTGATGTCAGGATGAGTAAGATGCCACAGTATTATAATATTTGCAAGTTTTACAGCAAGGTTATTTGTGCTAGAGACTGTATATGGCCCCAGGGTTTGTGTTTATTGAACGTAGCTCATGCAGCAAGAATTATTTACACTTAGATGGAATAACAGCCAAATCTGTAAGGAGGCAATACCTGCATTCTGTTAATGGAATGATAAATGATGTTTTTACTGTACAATTTTGATACATGAGACTAATGATTTTAACTACAATAAAACATGGCACATGAGCACTCAAAATATAGATTTAACATGACATATACTAAAGAGTAGAAATATGAGTATGACAGAGGCCGTTCCCAAGGCAGATCGATGAATTGTTTTGTCCATTTCCTTGTCAGCGTGTGTGACTCACTGAGTGAGCTGCTGGTGGTGATGAGGTGTGTAAGTGTGTGTGTGTCCATGTATGCTCTTTATGTGTAAATGTTTGATGTATGTGATGTCACACTCGTGGCTGCACTTCTGCTTGTGTTGTCATACGGTAACTGTATATATGTCTGAGTGGTTTGTTTACAGCTTCTCAAAGGACCAATTTCCGCTTTGTGTTCGTAGCACAGCGGCTGAATATTTTCAGGGATGGAATTGCCTATCTGAACATTTGTGAGAGCTCTTGAATGTTCTTTTCACACAACATTAGTCTTCTAACTAGAGAATGAGACACTTATGTACAGCACTATACAAACATTATCCTTCAGTACTGCAGTTCAACCAACGCAGTTATTGTAAATGTTCTGTCTGTCTGTCTGTTTGTCTGTCCTATTTAAATTAGGCAAATTGTGAAGTTTTCATTTCCATTTCAGCTAGTTTGAAAGTGTCATTAAGGCTTTTATGTTTCCCATGTAGCTTGCAGGTAAAATGTATTTAATGGATTAGGTAGAAGCACAGATTTTGTGTTAAGATTAACGGCTGACCTTTCACAATGTTCTTGATGCATCTGTCTCTTCAGTGCCAATGTTTTCACGTTTGAACAATATCACCCTCATTTTCATTACCGAGTGTTGCGACAAAACAAGCAATTACTTTGCTGCCTAACAATGCTGATTAAAGTTTAAAAACTAGTTTCATCATGAAGTCCCTGTTTAAAGGAAGCAGAGATAAAAGAGGATGCTCTGTCGAGCCGTGCTATACACAGGGCAGCACAAATCAGCCTTTGAGCGCATCAGTCACTATATGTCCCATTTGAGTCATGACAGCCAGTAAATGATGAACCGCCCACATACTGTGTTTTGACCCAAGAGTGTTTTCCTGTAAGCTGAAGAGACCTCTCAATCAAGACCATTGCTTTGTGACAAAATCCCAATTAAAAAAGATTAAGTGCATGTTACCCGTTTAAAAATATTTGCTCTACAATTCTTAAAGGTGGCTAACTATAGTGCTCCAGTTATTGAACTGGTAGCAACTAAATTTCCTTTAGAAAATATGAGTGCTGCATGCTACAGTGCTGACAGATAGTTGGTTGCTAGGGAGTTCTGGATGGTTGTTAGGTTGTCAAAAGAGTCCACCCACAATCTCTTTGATATGGTCTCTAGATACGTCTCGGTTCTTTCCATCAGTGTAGGATTCTTTCACCTGCTTTATAATCCACCAGGTAAAAATCGTACGTTTGATCGATTGGAAAAATAACACACCTCTCCTCCACAAAGCCGCACCATTTGAAGTATTTTTCACATCTGTAGCACAAACGATTTGTTAAAATCTCTCACCCTAAGCATGAGCTATAGTAATAGTTGCGATTGCTTTAATAAGCATCACAAATTACAGACCTCCAGTGATTCAGATGAGCTCTTAAAGATTAATATAGTTACTTTATTAAGCCGTAGAAATCTCACACTGCTGATAATGAGTCCTTCTGGTCATGCAGACCAGCTTTAGTTCACTGAATGGAGGCATGAGAGAGAGAGGTGCAGAGATGAAGGGGAGGAAGAAGAGGGAAGGGGGGAGAGCTTTGTCGTTTATCTTTCGTTCTCGTCTGTGCGCCTGCCAAGGGGGATGAATGGGGATCTTTAAATAGCTCTGATTAATTAAAGTTTTTAATTGCTAGCGGTGCTGGCCTCTTGCTGTCAGTCAAGGGGGGCGGGTGTACAGGTGTCATCCGACAGTGACAACTGTATACTTTTCTCATCCGCTCTGTTGACACTTGGGGACACATTGTCGTGCCAACATTATAAATACACATGCACACACTCTGAGACCTTTTGTCACCATGGCAGCCCAGAGACGCTCTGTGAAAATGGCTTTGTGTCGTCATTAACCTTGCGAGACCATTCCTTCATTAAACTCCTATGCGCTGGATTTGAGTTAAGCCGCATGCAAATTCTGCTCTCTGCTTCCTCGTCATCATCTTTCAGGCTGATTGCATCAGAGATCGCTCCTGGTTAGCTCTTGGAGCTACTGATAGTTCCTGTAATGTTTCAGAAGAAGTACGGTAACATGAAAGAGAGAGCTGCAAAAATAGTTTTCTTAATCAGAAATTCTTCTTGGATTGTTTTCCAGTAAAAACATCTAAACATGCTTAAAACAAGGTCAGTTTGAAAAAAAGTAATTCTGAAAAGAAAAGAAATTCTGGCTGATATTATTAATCCAGTAATTAATAATACAAGTTATGATAGATAACCGATAAATTGCTGATACTAAATTTTGTCTAAATAAACTAGCTGACACAATATGGCCCCATTAGTAAACTTTAGTTAATGCATTAAATAACATTAACTAACAATGAGCAATACATTGTTACAGTATTTATTAATCTTTGTTACGTTAGTTAATATAAATACAGCTGTTCGTTAGGTCAAGTTAGCTCAGGTCCGTAAAATAATTTTAATAATGTATTAGTAAATGTTGAAATTAACATTTTAACTTTTTGTTGTTAACAGATGTTAACAAATGGTACCTTATTGTGAAATGTTACCATACATTAAGATGCTAAAAATAAGCATAATTTTTTCAATGCTATAAGTTTACCATTGCAACATTATAAATGTACAGTATAAAAAATGGATATTTTAAAATGTGCTAAAGATTACATTTAACAAATTAAACGTGTTTTTAAAGATTAACTTTAAGTGTATGTTGGATGATGGCAAAGGTAATCAAAAAATATAACAATAAATGAGCACACACGATTACATATCTAATAACCGTTATGGTACTGATATTTCATAAATCCCTGATTATAAAATATTTAAAAAATGTTTTAAAAGAATTTATCTGCAATGAATCTTTGTTTAACTATAAACCAAACAAAATTGAGCGAGGATTATGTTTAAATAGTGCAGTTCGGAAATATTAGCAGATTTGTCCGGGGCATTTTTCAGCAGCATCTGTTCTGCCATGCAATAAATCATGCAAATATACAGTATGTGAATCTTCCCAACACCGAGGTCCCATTAGAGGAAAGCAATAAAGCAGCCTCTGGTCGCTGGTTTCATTGTGCTTATCTCAAGGCATTTGGCTGGTTTGGAAGAGTGTGACATTGCCTGGCCTTGCTGGGCCTCTCCATGTTGCTTGAGTATGCAGGGTAGCCAGTGCTGATGGATGAGTCAGCTGGGGGAGTGCAAATCTATCCCCAGGCTGCAGCCGTGGCCCAGTGATGGATGGCCCCTCTGAGCTGCACGCTGGCCTGATGGGTCATGGGCCACTCCAAACCCAGAAGGGCCGGTGTATTTCAGAGTAGAGATGGAAACAGGCTCCTTATTCATGCTCCATGAAACGAAATCTTTGCTGTCTTGCTTTGTGCAGCTGTTTGGTGTTTGTTGATGTTTTCGTTAATGTAGTACAGCAGAAGAAAATGCACTCAGTATTATTTTCTGACCCTGTCCCGGTTGAGATGCTTTAAAGGGGTCAAATGATGCGATTTCAATTTTTCCTTTCTCTTTGGAGTGTTACAAGCTCTTGGTGCATAAAGAAGATCTGTAAAGTTGCAAAGACTAAAGTCTCAAACCCAAAGAGATATTCTTTATAAAAGTTAAGAGTCAACCACGCCTACATAAAACGGCTTGTTCTAACACGCCCCCCACATGTCTACGTCACGATATGGGAAGATTTGCATAACACCGCCCAAATGTCATGTCGTGAATAAGCATGGGCCGATTACCGGTATCGAGGTACACCGCGGTGTAAAAATTTCACGGTTTAAAAACCACTAACATTTTCCTTTATACCGTTCCTGCGGTATGCGCTGTTTTTCCATGTCTCCTCAAAGACTGAAAGTGTAGGAATCCATCAGGTTGAGTGCAGTGTTGAGAGTAACATGCCCCCTCCTCCTCCTGTTGGTGCGAGCGTGTGTGTATGACGGCCGAAGGAGCTTCCTCTGGAACTTATGCGATCGGCAACAGGCCGTTTATTGTTTTATTGCAGCCGATCTCTGTTCTGGCTGGACTTGCACAAACTGCGTTGCAATGCATATCATTTTCCAAATGTCATTTATGTGAAAATATGAAGTCTGTAAACGCCCGTTAACACAAGCCAGAGACACTGAAGACGGACGCACAGAGAAAAATACTGTAGCAGGCAGATCACTCACTGTTCATGATGCACGAACTATTGGAAGAAAATCC